AGAAAAACAAATAGTTTTTTTTTTAAGTTTGTTTTTGGATTGTTTTATATTTGAAACTTACTCCATTTTTGTTTGTAATTTTTATTGGATAAATCTGAAACATATCATTTTTGTGGAAATTTCAACTCAGCTATAAAAAATACTGCCTAGTTATAAAAATATTACCCAGTTATGATTGGTTATGATCGGTGCGGTAGTTTCCGAGATCCTAGTTTTGGACGTATACATCGTAAGATCCGTTATAATAAGATTCTTTCAAGCTGGAAAAGAAAAAAGTTTTTGTGCCCTTGTTTATAGAAGTCTCTTTAATCTTTTAGTATCCATTCAGAAAGTAGCCTGACTGGTTATTTGTACTAAGCTCTTTTTATAAGACGTGTGAATGTGTTCAGTAACACCTGATCCTTTAATTGAAAAGAAATAAGTGTTTTTTTTTATTTCTAATTGAAAGACTAAATATGTTTTATATAGTTTGTTTGCTTGTTAATTGTTCTCTCAATCTTTCTGTACCCCGGGGGGAGGACCCCCATTTCTCCAATGTAGGGGAAGCAGCTTACGATTTCTTCCCTGAACTTGAATCCCATTTGGTTTAATATAATAACTCACTCTAAACTTACAACAAATATATTAAAATTAATTTTTAAAGCTGGAGACTGAAGCGTAAAAAAAAAAAAAATGAGATGAAGATTAAGTTATAAAAATAAAAGGTCATGTAGGTCACACTCTAACGTGTCTTTTCCTCACTAACTTCACTTTTTTCCATCATATTTTGGCTCCATTGCATCAAAAATAGGTCCGAATGGACACTTTAATTGTAAACTTGTAAAATATTTCGGAAGGGGGAGGGGATACGACTCCAAGACAGGCTCACTTCTTACATTCATGCCAACACAAATTTTGCTTCCGACGTCAATGTTATAATTGTCTTTTGAGACAATAGAAAAGTATCATTGTGTGAATATACTGGCGAGTAAAAGAATGGAACACGCTTGATGAAAGAGGAGGGAAGGACTTACGTTCATAGGCAAAAGAACGGGGGAGTTGATGCACAAATTTACGAATTACTAATGTACTGTGAATTATTTTCGACAACTTTGTGGCCAGTTTTGGAAGTATGATATAGATTTTTTTTTGTAGCTGTGTATAATATTGTACTATACTTCTTTTACTACACATTTTGTAAAGAGAGAGAGGAGGGGGGGGTCTGAGAGTTATGCTTTGTAAACTTGTAAACCAGCCATGAGGGGGTTGCGACCCCCCCTTCCCGATGGACCACCGAACGAGAAAGATACCCTTAGATCCAATCAAAAAAGCGAATTTTTTTTCTTCAAAAAGCTTAACGCCCTGGTGGAAGAAACGTAAGAAACAATTTGAAAATTTATGTTTATAATTTTTATAAAGTTCATAAAAGTTAACTTACTGAATCATTCCATTCATTCTTGTGATGATTGACTTTATACATGCCTGAAAAGTACACTTGAATCTACATTATATATAAATATACTTGTCAAGTTAACAGGATGTTTCTGTCGTTGAAATATACGTGTAATGTCATGATGTTATGTTATTAATGTGTGTATGTCGTGTACTTTTCATGTATTGTTGTGTACGTATCGGGCATCAAGCTATTATTACAATAAATAAATAACTTAAAATGTTTTTGCTGTATTACTTTACATCGTGTTTAGGTATTAAAAAAGAATTTTTTTCTGGCCATAGGTGGAAGAACGCACACACACTACCATAGTAAAGAAATTCATATCCAAGGGTAAGAAGAAGAAAAGTGGGGAGGGTGTGTAATGCTTTTAGGTTTAATCTGGAGTGCGAAGCGTACTGCGATAGCCTGAGGAGTGTTTATTTCCATAGCATGCTGGTGTGTTACACGAACTGGTCGTTTTTGTAGTCAGAAGTGTGCGCAAGTCGTCAGCTTCTTCCCCTCTCGGTGGATGGACTAGTCGAACCCGACGCGGCGCTTGCGCGTCTTTAGCTAAAAAATGTTGATGAAATGTGAGCTTGTCATCAGTTGGTTTCAGTCTTGTCTTTTGCTGGTGAGGGTTCGTATGTATATAAAATCCTTTAATCTCTTGAAACTTTCCTGCCAGACGAACTGTTCTTTCACATCAGTTCGTTCTTTTGAAATTTAAACAGCCATGTTTTAGCCAGATTAACTCAATTTGATCACGGTGGTCGAGCATCTTGCGTTGATCGCGTGCTGCTACATTATTGGCTCTGTCTGAACTGCGAACCACACGGTAACAACCGTTTCTAATCGAAAAAAAACTTTTCTTTGTGGACAACGATCCACTTGAAATACCGAATGTAAGTTTGTTGCTTTAAACTTAAAAAAGTGTAGAGAGTTGACGTTTGGTGTCTGCTTTTACTTGGCAGCTGTAAGAACCAGAAGTCTTAATCTATTACGGCACAAGAAGAAGAAATCTCGACAACGACTCGAACGTTCTGGTAAGTCTAATTTGTGCTCACACGATTGTTTAGAATTTCTTTAGACACATTGTGTTTCTCAAGATTATACTAGTAAGGTCTCGTGTTTAATGTTTTCGCTATCGACACATAGAATTTAAATACCGTGTATCTTTCCACCGTCGTTACTGAGCATCTCGTCTATTGCTTTAGTGTTTTCAATTTCAGAACCAAATACGTATCGAGACGTTAAAAAAAATTAATGAGAACGTTTTGTTGTAACTGTTAACGTAAAAGCTCCATCTAGTGTAACACTTTAATATTTTTTTTTCATGCTTTTCGCAACAAGATTTTCATAGTTGAACCGAAAAAGATTTCGCAAATATACTCGTATGTGTTGGATCCAATATTTTTCATTTTTTATATATTTTAAATCTATTTTTTAAGCAAAGTTTTTAAATGAAATTTTCTGGTATACACAACCCATTTTTAAAGTGGTGTGTGTAACTAAGAAGTTTAGAATAAAAATAGATAAAAGATCAAACTTGATACTGATGGTATTCAGTACTAGCTGTCAAAAAGTACGGGCACCGAATGCCCGCGAGATAGCGGCTAAATAAAGTACACTTAACAACCAGCTGTCAAAAAGTACGGGCACCGAATGCCCGCGAGATAGCGGCTAAATAAAGTACACTTAACAACCAGCTGTCAAAAAGTACGGGCACCGAATGTCCGCGAGATAGTGGCTAAAAGTCTGCACTTAGCAACCAGCTGTCAAAAAGTACGGGCACCGAATGCCCGCGAGATAGTGGCTAAAAGTCTGCACTTAGCAACAAGCTGTCAAAAAGTACAGGCACTGAGTGCCCGCTAGATAACGGCTAAGCCTATCAAGAAGATGTCACCACCGTAAATACTGCAGAAACTACGGTTTGTCGTTAGATTTATAGATATGCCTGTTCTCTTTCTTAGCCTTGAACCCAACGTTTTCGATATGATTTCACCTGTTTTAATAAGTGCGTGTAGAGAGTATTTCTATAGGATACAGTGACGATATTATCTCGCCCATATTCGTGGATTTAGTCACATCCTTAGTGTCTAAAAAAGTGGAATCGTTATTAAATAAGTGACGATTCTAGTTAATTTTCCTTCCTAGAATGCTCCAACATAATAAACTATGCCCTGTTTATATATTAGAGGTAGCTTCACTGCTTAACAAATGGGTAAGCTAATATCCCGTAGTAACTAGCCAATAGTTTATATTTCGTGTCCTATCACGAAATAAACGTTGGCTTCACTGCTTAACAAAGTGGCTAATATCCTGCATTATGATGCCAGAAGTTCGTTATTAGTTTTATAACACGACTCCCCCCCACCCCTTACTGTGTTTAATTTCATAAATTACAGACAGAATGGCACCTAACTCAGTTTGTTTCGATAAATTGTCAACAATTGCTGTTGACTTGCACCTTCTACTACATCAACCGGCCTCTGCTACGCCTTGGACTTGCCTTCACTTCCCTCATGATCATCTGTGTGTATATGTTTTGATTTTTATTTATTTATTTATTCGCCCTCATTAAAACGATGACCTCTCATTGAACTTAAAGCCTCGAGCAGGGTGAAGGAGGATTGCTAATCTTCGAGCACCCTTGATTATTAATTATTTCGTGTGAAGTAATTAAGTTCAAATCAAAATAACTGCCAGAAATAATATATATACCTAACTTGGCCTGATTTTAGGAAGAGAAAAAAAATATATACATTGAGGGTGAAAAATCTTCTCCACCCTCAAATTCCCGCTTCGCACGTAACCAAGTATTAGTGGACTGAGAGAGCCGATTATCCTGTCGCATGGGGTCTCGTGCAAACCAGTGTTTTCTTCCGTGTGCGTCTTTGTGGTATAATTTTTAAATCATGGTCGGAAGGATGGATTAATTGCCAGATTATGTTTTAAGAGTTTTTAAGTGAGTATCCAGTGTTGAGATTCCGAATAAGTTCGGACATAACCTATAACAAGTTGCAGTCGTGCTTCTACTACAACGAGGCGGGAAGATGGCGGAAACGTGGTTGTGTTATGTGGTAAGAATGATGCGATGATACGCTTGTAGTTTAGTATTAATTTGTTGTAAATATAGCTTAGTCGTGACGTTTTGCGATTTTAGTTTACTGGGTATCTAAATGAACGGTTAACCGTAATTCAAACGATGCTGTGCTATATAAGTCCTACTTTTTTTGTTACTTGGCTGAAGATGGTGTAGAGAGGTGAGCACGACGCCATACGCTGAACTGGAGCGACGCGGAGGTATAGTTCGACAAGATACCTCGCCGTGAACGCGGTTTGATACGGTACTGCGTTCGTACATGGTAAGAACGCGGTTTGATACGGTACTGCGTTCGTACATGGTAAGAACGCGGTTTGAAACGGTACCGCGTTCGTACGGAGCTGTCCAAATCTTTTAGCTTGTGACTCCACAAGATCTAAGACACTCAGAGGGGAACCTTGTGTAGTTTTATTTCTTGCAATAATTAATATTCTCGTTGAAAATATAGCTTTTTTCCAGTGTCAAGGAAGATTTAAAGATAATATTTCTACACGTTCTAAGCCCCCCCCCCCACATTCACCTAGAGACCTCGCTCATCCCAGTTTAGGAACCTCCGAGAAACGATACCGTGTCATGTTGTGAACATGCGGAAGGGGAAAAATTGGGAGTGGTAAGTTGCATACTTTTACACATCTGAACAGTGCAGTACGCGTTTAATATTATTAACGTTCCATCGATATCTTCCAGCGATGTATCGTTTTAAACGCTTTCTAACAATGAAAGATTAGTAATAATTCTTTGAACACGTAGAAACATAGCGGGTTTGCTATAACGAGCTTACCCAAACACTAATGTCTGTAATTTGGATGTGAAACATTTAAAGCGAGTGTTCGGCTTTCGTCTTCCTTTACGAATGCTTGCCCCCCCCCCACCCTTAGTGGCACAGCGGTATGTCTACAGACTAACAACGCTAGAAACCGGGTTTCGATACCCGTGGTGGGCAGAGCGCAGTTAGCCAATCGTGTAGCTTTGCGCTTAACTTCAAACAAACAAACAAATTACGATGGCTTATGCGGAAATTGTGGAGTAGATCCCCACTCCAAGGGGGGGTGGGGGGCACAACTATAACTAGAAGCGTATAAATTGTATCTGAAATTACAATTTTATAAATAAAGAAGTCTTGAAACCTAACGTACACATAATACAACTATTAAGTAATGTAATAAAATGAATTAACATGGAAAATGTCATGCGAAGTACATACACAAATAAATTATACGGGTGTGCGAGAGGGCGCGCAACAAAACGCATGTGTAGAAAGATGGGGCACCATTGAAAAAAGTGTTTGCACCATTGGTGTATAGCACACATTAGACACGTCTGTGGTTTTCACTACAAGCCTTGTTCTTCCCACTATATTAGTAAATGGGATTTTTTATAAGGCGCACACGTTAAATAACATGATTTTTTTTGTTTCAAGGTCGACATGATTTGAGCCCCCGTGACCAATTGTAAGTAGTAATTCGGAAATAACTACACTCTAAGATTTCTATCGCACTCGACTCTCCACCAGGGGATTTGTTCCGCTCAAGTAATAAGTAAGCGAACAAAAAAACACGTTGTCTGCGGACTCATCAACGCTAGAAACCGGGTTCCGATACCCCTGGTAGGCAGAGCACAGATAGCCCATTGCGTAGCTTTTTTTGCTTAACTTCAAACAAACAAAACACGTTAGGCGTCTTTCCACCCCCCGGGTGTGGCCCATCCGGTGAAGGTATAAGGTCACAGCAGTAGTAATACGTGGAACTATGTAGTACCGCGTATGGTCTTACGATGTTCTTTGCCTTCAGGATGTTTACATTCGTGCGCATGCACACAAACTCGAATATACCCTTTGAAAATTACACTCACTCGCGCTCATAAATTAACGGATAAGGATAACACGCGAACAATGTGTATGAAAATATATAAGCTCCAAGAGCGTGACAGTAGTCTTTATTAAATTCTCTCTCTCTCTCTTTCCCCCTCCCCCCACACTTTATGACGAGGTAGACACCAAGTGAACGTAGATTGCCAATAATTCCAGACCCCCTCGCAACCAATAAATCAACCCCGTAGAATATTGAGGCCATTGGACATTTCCCTTGAGGGACCACTTATTAATTACCAGTGGATAGCGACGTGAAACCGCCCCATATAATGTTGGCGTTACGGAAGCGCTGAAGTGCCTAAGTATATCAAGCAGTGGTCGTAATAAAACATTAGCGCAGTGGTTCTAAAGCTATTTGGTCCACAGACCATTTCGGTGGGGTGAAAGACCTCGCGGACAACCTTACCGGCCGTATTCTGTTCTCTCGGTCGTGGCGTTACGCGTCAGTGACTTGGAGTTTTGCACCAGCCTGTGACTACTTGGAAAAACTCTTTCGCACCACCAGGGGTCTCCTCGAACCTCACTTTGAAGACCATTGCATTAGCGGATCCCGTTATTCGGAATGCTGAGTTCCAACCTGTACTCGTTTAATTTGTCATAAACAAGTTAGAAGTACTATTGTATCAAACCCCGAATTTCTCTTGTATCTTACATCAAATAAAGTTATTATTTGGATGACTCGGCTACCAGACACACACAAAGCTACACTGTATACGTGTGGTAAATAGTATACTTATTATTACATGTTTACTGCTGTGTGTTATGTATCCCCCCACCACACATGCGAGTGCACCATGTGTTATGTATCTCCCCACCCTCACACATGCCGAGTGCACCATGTGTTATGTATCTCCCCCCCACCCCCACACACACATACCGTGTGCACCATATCAACTTCTTTATTCATATTGTACTTGACCCGATATATAAACAAACGGTCCCTTGTGTAAACCATCATTTAGTTGGTGCGTACTCTCTAGTTATCGCTCAGTCTACCTGGCATCTTAGCTATGAGTGACTACAATCACCATTATAAAGAGGCGGGTCGTGGCCTAAAGGCTAGAGTGCCG